CCCGCGGGCAGCGGACAGGGTTATCCGCTGCCCACGCGCTCCGCGGCTTGGCTCTGCTTTGCCAGCCGCTGTTGAAACTGATCAGTTTCAGCAGCGGCTGAATCTGGACGCCAGTTCCGACTTACATACAGATTCAACTTAAGAACAAACCTACAGTCCCTATCTTGTACGTAACCTGGGGACTGCCTGTACACGATTAGTTAATTACCCGCTTCTTAACATCCTTACTGCAAGTCTGTCATCACATTTTTTATCAGAAATCACATTGCAATCGAAACTGATCAGTTTCAGCAGCGGCTGAATCTGGACGCCAGTTCCGACTTACATACAGATTCAACTTAAGAACAAACCTACAGTCCCTATCTTGTACGTAACCTGGGGACTGCCTGTACACGATTAGTTAATTACCCGCTTCTTAACATCCTTACTGCAAGTCTGTCATCACATTTTTTATCAGAAATCACATTGCAATCCTGGTAAATCTGGTATGTGTTATGAGCGTATAAAGTCACAGTGTGGGGAGGTCTGGTCCTGAGCCTAGGTTGGGAGGTCCTTATTTCTTGAGGTGAGTAGGGTTGTGGGAAAGAGAGGTGGCCTCAGAGAGAGTCTGCCTTGCTCTCAGCTATGGTTCTTGTTCTGCAGGACTGACCCAGCTCTCTGTTCCAGCTGTTTGTCTCTTGCCATTTTTTTGCAGGTGGGACTCTCTCTGTAATATTTTGCCCCTACCCTTTCTGGCCCTGGACCACTTGGTCCAAGTTATGGCTGCAGATGTGGTCAGAGACACACAATCGTGACAAACCTGTAGCCCCAACTAATATTAATGGTTATAGGCTTTACGAAAATGACTTTTCTAAACTGGAAACTATTCAAGTACACTGTGTAGCGCAGACATGATTCTGTGCTGTTTTGTTTTGTTTTTTAACCAGAGTGGTAGGCCTGAAATGGCTTGCATTGATGTCACTTGCATCATTGTGAATCTGGAATGAAGATATGTGGCTCAAGGGCGGGGTTGTATTTTTGTCACTATTGTATCTAGAGGCCTCGAACTTTGGCAGTGTCAATGCATCACTGAAAACATGGTATTAAATCAGAAACAGTCAATAATAGAAAACAGGCACACAGTATAAGCCTCTAACTACTGTAAAATCTGATTCATGGACTTCGGGAACACTTAGTCTGACAAAGTTGACATTGAAAAATCTTTGGCATTTCTATTATCAAGGTGATTGTTACACTTTTTAAGGCCATATTCGAAAGATACAAGATGGTTTTAGCACCTTTTAAAATATTATAATTGTAATGAATTTCTAAATTTCTTAGGTGTATGCTTGATTATAAGTGGTCAATAAAGACAGTAGTAGCTCTTTTCTATAGCAGGAGCTTTATGTAGGATGTTGTTGTACCTACATAATGGAACTTCTTCAAATGGTGGTGGGAACTATCATTGGGGCACTTTGTTTTGAAACAGTTTCCATGGTAGTGCCATTGCTGTTCCAGTTGTGCAGTGTCAACAATGGGAACCCTTACAAAAATTTTCCACTAGTTCAGTTGAGCTGGTGTTAAAACTGGTCAGTGATCTATGATGATAGTCTTGTGGCCACTAACTGTCTTTATTGCTGTTACTGTGTCAGTTAGACCTGCTGAAAAATAAAACCAGTTCCAGCTGCCAGAACTATCTGTAGATTAGTGTCACGTCAGGCCAACTGAACCAGTGTTAGGATTAGTGGAATGGGGGGGGGGAGGGGAGGGAAAGGAAGGCTGGGAATTTCCATTTCTGTAGCATAGCCCAGGTTTAATGTACACAATGTTAGATTTGTGATCTGTCTGTCATTATGAATTTTCTAGATCCAAATACAATTGGAGAGGTTTAGCAGCTTTATTCTTGTTACACACCTTTCTGTTCAGTATTTACCTCATGTGACTTGCCATTGCAGTGCCTCACACATGTTCTCAACCCGTAAGCTAACTATCTTGGTGTTTTATTTTGATAAAAGTTTGACCCAGAGATGGCAAAATGTATTATTATTACATTAATAATCAGAGTTACTCTTTGCTTGCAAGAGCAATGAAAAGCTCAAAATGGCTAGGTTCAAATTGTTATGTTTGGAAATATGTACTGCTAATGATCTGCTCAGGTTCCCCCCACTCCTGCCTTCAGCTTAGTTGTCTGCACAATTGAAGTGTTACATAAGATCCTGCTGTAATGTTCCAGTCTCTGATTATTGCTGCTTGCTGTTCATCATGAAAAGGGAATCAAACAGAAATTCTTTTATTTATAATAGAAACGATTTATATATTCAGGTTCTGATACATTGCTTGCTGCCTCACTTCTAATTCAGAATCTTGCAGGATGTTATGGGATTTTAGCATGAACAGCATATTCAAGAGGCTTTTTAATGCATCATATATCACACGTTCTAAAGACTCCTGAAAGCACAGAAGGTTAACATAAGATTAAGAATACTCAAGTCTGGGTTTAAAATATGTCCTTTGTTGGTGAGGCAATTGTAATCTTGTGTTCAGAAAGTCATCTCCCGTTTTCATGTTCTCACTGCTGGCCATGTACTGAACTCTGGCGATGAGGGTGGGAGAATGTTCTATGAACCTCTCTTTCTATGCTGGTGATATGACTAATATTCAAGAAAATACACAGGAGACATTTAACGTGCCATTTACTTTGATTTTTTTTTCTTACCTAGGACAAAAAAGACGGAGAACCAATGACTCTGTAGCAAATACTTGGATACTTGGGAGGTCATTTTTACACTGTGAGTAAATTCTGTTGCTGATTACAGGAGTTACATTGCTGATTTCTGTGTGGCAGAGCTGGCTTTTCAGCTTTGAGAGTGTTGGATTAATAAAGAAGCTAGGAGCACAGGAGGAATTAAAAAAATCAAACAATAAGCTTTAACTGGACATACTGTTCTAGCTTCTGCTTTGGAAGAGGCTAAAAAAATATTGCTAGCTGCACTGATGCCTACCACTGTAGGAACACTTAAAAAACACAGAATAGTGTAACAACACCTTAAAGACTAACAAAACATGTAGATGTGCCCAGGAAAGCTCATGATACCAACCCATTTTCTCAGGTAACAATTATTAAAATGTCTATACTCTTCTGTAGACATTAGTGTTACACTTAACTCATAATATATGTCCTGTATATTGCAAAGTATGGTTATAGTCACTTCAAACTGAAATATCAATACATCCACTGTGTAGATAGTTGATGTAGACTACCTTTTTGTGGTATAGAAATGGTTGAATTCATTTGACTGTATTTGACAAGGTCCATCTAAAGCAATTTCCAGTGCCTCTTTTTCCAAAGCTTCAACTTTCTCTAATAACAAAAAATGCTTTTATTTAGACATTGTGTGCAGATCCTGGGAAAATGGGCTACAGAATGAAAACAGAACATTGCTCACTAGCATTCTTAATTTGATTTAAGTGTGATTTATACATACAGGCAGTCCCCGGGTTACGTACAAGATAGGGACTATAGGTTTGTTCTTAAGTTGAATTTGTATGTAAGTCGGAACTGGCTCCAGATTCAGCTGCTGCCACTGAAACTGACCAGGGGCTGACTACAGGAAGCCGGAGGCAGAGTTGCTCTGCCCCCAGCTTCCTGGAATCAGCCTGATCAGTTTCAATAGCTGCTGAATCTGGAGTCTGGGACAGAACAGCTGGGGCGCTGCCCGGTAGGTTCCCACAGGACCAACTTGGCAGCACCCCAGCTGCTCTACCCGAGGAGTCCCGCAACAAAAGCCTGGTCTGCTGGGGGGGGGGGGGCGCACTAGTTGCGCCCCTCCCCCCCAGCAGACCAGGGAGCCCCCCGCC